GGAGGAATTGAAAGAGAAGTTGTTGAGGGTGAGGACGAGTTCGGCTAAGCGGATGAGGGTGTCAGTGGAGGGGGACTGGTCGGGCCTGCGGGACAGGAAGAAGCGGAGGGCCTTTAGACCATCTGTATGGGGAATGCAGGTGTAGAGGGACTGGACGTCCATGGTAAAGATGAGGTGTTGGGGACCGGGGAATTGGAAGTTCTGGAGGAGGTGGAGGGCGTGGGTGGTGTCACGGACGTAGGTAGGGAGTTCCTGGACCAAGGGGGAGAAAATGGAGTCCAGATAGTTGGAGATCAGTTCGGTGGGGCAGGCGCAGGCGGAAACAATGGGTTGACCAGGGAATTCAGGTTTGTGGATTTTGGGAAGGAGATAGAAGCGGGTGGTGCGGGGTTGGGGAACGATGAGGTTGGAGGCCGTGGGTGGGTGGTCACCTGAGGTGATGAGGTTGTGGATGGTTTGGGAGATGATGGTTTGGTGCTCGGGGGTGGGGTCATGATCAAGGGGGCGGTAGGAGGCGGTGTCGGAGAGTTGGCGTCTGGCCTCGGCGATGTAGAGGTCAGTGCGCCATACTACAACTGCGCCTCCCTTGTCCGTGGGTTTTGTGGTCAGGTTGGGATGGGAGCGGAGGGCTGCACATTCTGTGGTGGAGAGGTTGAGGCGATTGATGTCTCGACGGCAGTTGGAGATGAAGAGGTCAAGGGAGGGTAGGAGGCCTTGGGGTGGTGTCCAGGAGGAGAGGGTGTGTTGGAAGCGGGAGAAGGGGTCAGTAGAGCGAGGGTTAGGCTCGCGGTTGCAGAAGTAAGCGTGGAGGCGGAGGCGGCAGAAAAACTGCTCTATGTCCAAGCATGAGCGGTATTCGTTGATCTGTGGGTGGAGGGGGACAAAGGTGAGCCCTTTACTGAGGACTGACCATTCGTCCTCAGTAAGGGGTAGGTATGGGGGGATGGTGAAGGCTCGGCAGGGCTGGGTGCTATTGTCCCCTCTGGAGCTGCTGGCTGTGGGTGGAGTTGCGCCTGCGTCGGTGATGGGCGGAGCGGTGTCGGCGGCAGCAGCGGTGACGGTAGGCGCGACTTCAGTGTCTGTGGTGTTGGTCTCGGAAATGGAGGCGGTGGCATCGGCAGTGATGGCGTTCGCTGTCCCAGAAGTGGGGAACCTGGCGGTGGCGGATCTGACGTCATCTGTGGGTTCTCCGACAGTGGCCTCATGGCCAATGGCGGCGGGCACATTGTCGGGACGGTCCTGGGTATGGCTGGAGATTTGGGGGGTGGAGGAAGCCCGTTTTGGGTGGTGGGCACCAGTAAGTTTACTGTAACGGTTTTTAGTGTCCAATAAAGCTGAGTAGAATTGAGAGTTCAGGTTGTGGATCCTACGAGGAATGAAAAACAGGAGAGGTCCTTTGCAGGTCTGGGAGAGGGAGGCTCTGAGCTGGGGTAGGCTTGATTGTAGTGCCTGGAGATGCCGGCGCATTGCTGCAAATGTGTGTTTCAGGAGTCGTAAGGAGAAACGCTTCTGAAGGATCTCAATGCCATGAGTGTAGGACGAGCTGGGCTGGTTTTGCGATGCAGTTGCGGGAGGGGAGATTTTGAAGCTTGTGAAGTCCACATTGATACCATTGAGCTGCAGGGTTCCCAAGCGGAATATGAGTTGCTGTTCTTGCAACCTTCGGGTGGCATCGTTGTGGCACTGCAGGAGGCCCAGGATGGACATGACGTCTCAGGAATGGGAGGAGGAGTTGAAATGGTTCGCGATTGGGAGGTGTAGTTGTTTAGTGCGAACTGAGCGTAGGTGTTCCGCAAAGCGGTCCCTAAGTCTATGCTTGGTTTCCCTGATGTAGAGGAGGCCACAACGGGAACAGCGGATACAGTATACCACATTAGCAGATGTGCAGGTGAACATCTGCTTGATCTTCTTGGGGCTCGGGGTGGAGGTGAGAGGGGAGGTGTAGGGGCAGGTGTAGCACTTCCTGCAGTTGCAGGGAAAAGTGCCGGGGGTGGTGGGGCTGGAGGGGAGTGTGGAGCAGACAAGGGAGTCACGGAGAGAGTGGTCCCTCCGGAAAGCAGATAAGGGTGAGGAGGGAAAAATGTCTTTGGTGGCGGGGTCGGATTGCAGATGGCGGAAGTGTCGGAAGATGATGCGTTGGATCCGGAGGTTGGTGGGGTGGTATGTGAGGATGAGGGGGATTCTGTTTTGATTGTTATTGCGTGGAGGGGCTGTGAGGGATGAGTTGCAGGAAATGCGGGAGACATGGTCGAGGGCGTTCTCGACCACTGAGTGGGGGGGAGTTGCGGTCCTTGAAAAACGAGGACATCTGAGATGGAAGTGGAATGCCTCATCCTGGGAGCAGATGCGGCGGAGGTGAAGGAATTGGGAATAGGGGATGGCATTTTTGCAGGAAGGTGAGGGGGGAGATGGTGTATTCTAGGTAGCTGTGGAAGTTAGTGGGTTTGAAATGGATATCGGTTTCCAGGTGGTTGCCAGAGATGGAAATAGAGAGGTCCAGGAAGGAGGGAGAGGTATCAGAGATGGTCCAGGTGAAGGTGGAAGGTGTTGGTGAAGTGGATGTATTGTTCGAGCTCCTCGTGGGAACATGAGGCGGCTTCGATACAGTCATCGACGTAACGGAGGAAGAGGTGGGGTTTAGGGCCAGTATAGCTATGGAAGAGGGATTGTTCCACATAACCTACAAAGAGGCAGGCGTAGCTTGGGCCCATGCGGGTACCCATGGCCACCCCCTTTGTCTGTAGGAAGTGGAGGAATTGAAAGAAAAGTTGTTAAGGGTGAGGACGAGTTCAGCTAAGTGGATGAGGGGGTCAGTGGAGGGGGACTGGTCGGGCCTGCGGGACAGGAAGAAATGGAGGGCCTTCAGGCCATCTGCATGGGGAATGCAGGTGTATAGGAACTGGATGTTCATGGTAAAGATGAGGTGTTAGGGTCCAGGGAATCGGAAGTTTTGGAGGAGGTGGAGGGCATGGGTGTTGTCACAGACGTAGGTGGGGAATTGCTGGACCAAGGGGGAGAAAATGGAGTCGAGATAGGTAGAGAGAAGTTCGGTGGGGCAGGAGCAGGCGGAGACAATGGGTCGACCAGGGCAGTCAGGTTTGTGGATTTTGGGAAGGAGATAGAAGCGGGTGGTGCGGGGTTGGGGAACGATGAGGTTGGAAGCTGTGGGTGGGAGGTCACCTGAGGTGATGAGGTTGTGGATAGTTTGGGAGATGATGGTTTGGTGCTCGGGGGTGGGGTCATGATCAAGGGGGCGGTAGGAGGAGGTATCAGAGAACTGGCGTCTGGCCTCGGCGATGTAGGGGTCAGTGCGTCATACTACAACTGTGCCTCCCTTGTCCGCGGGTTTTATGGTGAGGTTGGGATTGGAGTGGAGGGAGCGGAGGCTGCACGTTCTGTGGGGGAGAGGTTGGAGTGGGTGAGAGGGGTGGAGAGGTTAAGGCAATTGATGTCTCGATGGCAGTTGGAGATGAAGAGGTCGAGGGAGGGTAGGAGGCCTTGGGGTGGTGTCCAGGAGGAGGGGGTGTATTGGAGGCGGGAGAAGGGGTCAGTAGAGGGAGGGTTAGGCTCACGGTTAAAGTAGTAAGCGCGGAGGCGGAGGCGGTGGAAAAACTGTTCAGTGTCCAATCGTGAGCGGTATTCGTTGATGTTAGGGTGGAGAGGGACAAAGGTGAGCCCTTTACTGAGGACTGACCGTTCGTCCTCAGTAAGGGGGAGGTCTGGGGGGATGGTGAAGACTCGGCAGGGCTGGGTGGTACTGTCTCCTCTGGAGCTGCTGGCTGTGGAGGCGGTGGGCAGAGCAACATCGGCGTCGGCTGTGGGTGGAGTGGCGTTGGCATCGGCGGTGGGTGGAGCGACTTCGGCATCGGCAGTGGGCAGAGCGGGGTAGGCAGTGGGAGGAGCGGAGTTGGTCGGTAAGTCCTGGATGTTGTGTATTATTCAGAGTCTGGTATTTTCAACCTGGATAATTATCTTTGCCCTTTGTTTTTAGGAAAATTTCTTGGATCAGAAACGTCACATTTGAAGATCCTGAAGTGGTGAGTCTGTTGCGAATCAATTCTGAAATGTGCACTAACCTAAAGGTAAAGTTTAGTAATCATTGCAACTCTGGCATCATTTCAAGAAGGCAGTTCACCACCACTTCCTCATCAGTAACTAGTGATAGGTTTAAATGCTGCCTCAGCCAGCAACACCCATCTTACTATCAGTGAATAAAATACCCTCAATTTATGAAGACATACATTGGATATCATAATGGCGATTTGTTTTAATTCTGTAGATCACCCCTGAATATGAGAAAGTGAGGTGTAATTATCTGGGAGATGCAGAGTGTCTGAGGATTTTTATTGTTTCCCATTGTTGAGTTCTGTGCATGTGTTAGGAGCTGGTTATTATCCTTTGGATGGTGAATGGTAAGTTCTCTCTGTGTGTTGGGATCTAGATGTTGCCTAAAAAAGGAAATTGCTATTGTATAGAACTTTTAACAACCGCCAGATGTCCTAAATTCTTCATAGCTGATTTAGTATATTTGAGTTGTGGTCACTGTTGCAATGTTGGTGATGTGGCAGCCAATGCGTACACAGCAAGTTCGCAGAACAGCAGAGTGACAAAAACCATATAATCTGTTCTTTGTTGGTGTTGAGTAAAGGATTAATTTTCATCTGGATACTAGGGAAAACTGTCCTGTTTAAAAACTGAAAGAACTGTGTGGAAGAAAAATTTTACATCGCAAGGGTAGATGGGAATTTAGGCCAAGACAGAAAAGGCAGCCATGGGAGAAACTGATGACTTAGAGAAAGAATTTTAATTAGTTTAGCATGTGGGATTTTAACGAGCTTAAAGTCAGGAGGTGTTGCTCAGACTGTATTATCACTATGTGTATGTTATCTTAGCTAGAGTTGGAGAAGGATCTTTTGATGTATTGTCACCATACCAAGGTTTTAGGCTGAAGTAGATATGTTCTTTGTATCCCCGTGGAGCCTAGTTACTGATAAGCTAGAATTTCAATTAAACTGTAAATCATTCCCTATGCTAGCTCCATGCCGAAGGTCATTTGAAGTAGTAATTATTAAGGCATCTGTAAGACAATATTCCTGTTATCTTGAGCAGTGTCTGTTTTCTTTAAACTTACAGTGAATGAATCAACAAACACAAGATGTCAGGGGAACACCTTGCTCTGAAGTTAATGGTATAAAGGAAATTGTTATACCCTGTATTGGGAGAATCGGGTGCCGGTGGAGATCGCCACTCACTCTCCTTGGTACCAAGTAAGGAAATAAACTGCTTCAAACAGGACCTGGAGTCTAGTCTCATTATTACTTAAGCAGAAATAAAAATTTCTACAACAAACTGCAGATGCTGTAAATCAGGAACA